CCAGGTACTTACAACAAGGCATGCATCAATCACATTGTGTCATGTTTACAGGAAACGGGGTCCTCTGGTGAGCTCAGAATATTCTTCAGATCAAACAAACTATAGAGAAAAGTGCTAGAAAGCGCTAAATGTTGACATTTTTTCTCCACTGAGCTCTGTTCTTCGCTGGTGGTCAGCCGGCACACCCACACACGCTGAGGGATTGTGAACAACTAAAACCTTTGTGGCTGCTTCCTCCCTTAACAGGCCACAAAACAAAACAAACGGACTGTTTAATCCTCCAGTCCACATGGTGCACTTTGCTGCGTAGTGCCTACCCATCTATCCCCCCCTGTGCTGAGCATGTGCCTCCACTGCATTAAAACTCTCTTGCAAGCCACTTGTGTCATTTTGCAGCATTTTTTCAGCTGTCGGCCCATTGAATCCACTCCAGAGAGTTTTTAAATCACGTTTTGGATCCACTTTGCTGCCAGGAAAATAATCCACAAGATTGATTGGGCCGGTCGGTGGTAGAATTCAACTTATTTACGTGATGCAACATCCCTTCTCGGCATCATCTCTGCAGATTTGTTGTGTTTTTGTTAGAGAAATGCTCAGCTGGGAGCTCTGCATCCTCCGTGGGAAGTGACAGTTGTGATAGATTGGAGATGCACATGTTGCATCACTGTGCACCGCTGCTCTCCACGGGACGGGACAAAAGATGAATGTCGTCCCAAATGTGATGCAGCAGGAACACGAGGCCAGAGGGAACGTGGGAAAATGGGGGAGGAAGAGAGAACGGAGGAAAGAAGAACATGATTACAAAATCCTGGTTTTACTTCCCTCTCAGTGGTGTAGGAAACACTTCCTGCTAGCCGTCAATCACATGTTCTGGCAGTTCCCCGGTTCATCTATGGTTGTTTTCTTTTCTTTGTCCACTTTCAAATCAATCTGTAGGAAACAAACCTTTGTGAAAGCCTATGAAGCTTCTTTAAAGTGAACTTGAATACTTATTTTTCAGTTATTCCCCTATTTATTCTCTTCAGCGCCACAGATGTTTTTCTTTTTCCAAACTCTTATGTTTAGTACTTCAATTTTACCGTTTGATTGAAGCCTCAGTCACTAAATAATCCTAGCTTTTAAGGAGGCCAATAGAAGCCCATCATCGTTTACGTTGAATGATATACACAGTACCTCACTGGGTGCGGCCAGGTGTCTTATACAGAACACATGCACACTACACAGGGTGTGAAGAGAGAATGCAGTCATGCAGGAATATGTGACTGCAGTTACTTGGTATTTGTTCTTTTGCAGGCTTTTTCCATTGTCAATGCATTTGTTGGAAACATACAAAATAAATGAGATAGAGAAATAATTTCCCACTAATTAACAAAGTGAATTAAGTTAATTAGCTACAGCTGATTAACTCTGCCAGCAAACTAGCCTCTTTAGTGGAATTGACACTCACCAGCTGAAACTGATCAGCTTGTCAAGGCCGGGGGGGCAAAGCTGTCTCTTCGGTGCAGAGCTCAAATTATTTGGTGATAAAACAAAAAGTCGGTCAACAGATCAAATCAATCAGCAACTATTTTGATATTTGATTAATCTTTTAAGTCATTATTACAAGAACAAAATACCAAAATTAGGACTCTCTAATGTGAGAATGTGCTTCTTCTTTTTGCTTGTTTTACATGAAATTAAATTGGGTACATTTGGGTTATTTTCTTCTGGTCAGACAAGAAAAGCAAAATAATAATAAAACCTTGCTGTCCTGATATTTTAATGGCTGGTTTATCAGTGTTTCAGATTATTTTACTTAGAAACGAACTGTCTTACTAGGCCTCATGGTGCTGCTGTACACTTAGTGACAGGCACAGTAAGAGTACCTTAGCAGCACGAGGATTAGGACCTGATCAATTAGCAGCTAATGCACTTAACAGCAGCTCATTAGGCAATATCCTGCCAGTGAAGGACAGTGACACTTTTTAAACCAATGTGTCTCTGGTCACTAGTTTACACAAGCCTTAAGTAAGTCTATTAATACAGATCGAATTCACTGTACTGTTACAAAAAAGTGTCATTGTTTTGATGGTTCAATGGAGCCGGTGTATCTGGAGCAATGTGGGTTATTAGGAAAGGATCAGGCCTTGCATAACCAATACCAATCCTTCAGAAATGACCTGAATTGGTGCCAGTTCTGTGGATCAGCCCGGACATCCGGAGCACGTTTCACTGCAGTGTAAATAATACACACACCCTCGCAAACAGTAACATGTCAACTCTGTGGTGTCAATTCATGTTGTAAGAAGGCGGGTCAGTTTACCTGCTACACTAATGACTTCCTGAACACACACATGACATTTGTGTGTTTGTCTCTGTATACTTTTAAGATGTTTGCATGCAAGGTCACTTCTTTTGAATGTTGTTTATGATGAAAGTCTCTTAATGATAGCTGTGCTACATCACACACAGATCCACAGACGCACACACTGACCTCTTAGCTGTGTTTCCACCAATTTGTGGTCTGTACAAGAGGCTCAGATCTGCATATCACACTCTCCTCCACAGATTACTATCGGTCTGCCCCCTGCTGGTAAACTAAAGAGCTGCAGGCTGTGACAATGACTGTAAATGTATTCAGCGTGCTGCAGCTCTCCCCCCAGAGACATACCAACATCAGCTGCACAGGCTGTACCAAATGAAGCTGTCACTCAAACAATAACGCAATAAAGCACCACAATCAGTCTAGTGTTTGACAGGTAGAAATGCCTTCGCTGCTCTGGAACATAATTAAATGAAACGACAGCGGGGGAGCAGAAATAAGGTGGGGTTATGTTATAGTTATGTGTTGGACTACTTGATCAATAGTGCTTCTGCAGCAATTCTTTTTTCATGACAAAGAAGCAGTTGTTCGCCTTTAATTCGTTCTGTTGGAGGTGAAATATTTACCCACACGCACGGACTGCAGTTATTGCGGACAGCTCTTCATGTGACCAATCATCTTATCTAAAACTGCTAGAAGACATCAACAGTGGCTTAAGTCTGTCATTTAAAAAACAAAACCAACTCTTTGTTGTACACACAGTTTTGGCACGCATTCAAAACCTTTTAGTCTGTAGGGCTGATGTAGTATTTGGTGACTAGTATTCAGAAAATGTGTCACTGCCTTGTGTTCATACTAACTTTGATGTCTGATTGTCTCTTAGGACATTGTTTGGGGTCAAATATCTCTGATATGTCAAAAACAATCACAATCCTTGAGGAAATACATTTCCTGTTTAAAATTAAATCGACAATGCAGTTATGTTTAATGGGAATATATTTTTTAAGGAGACCAACTTGCACATTACTCAATTTAGGTTTAGTCTATTCATATTGGATTTAAAATAATTTGTATATTGTGAAGTAATTGTCAGGTATTTCACGTGCTGGATTAAGCAAATCAGTCTTTAATCCATACAAGTCTGAACTGATTTCCAAGAATATCCTAAATTAGTGCAGTATAAGCTATTACTGAGGATCTTATCTATCTAAGGGTCTTATCCTCACTGAATACATTTTTTCAATACTACATTGTGTGTGTGTGTGTGTGTGTGTGTGTGTGTGTGTGTGTGTGTGTGTGTGTGTGTGTGTGTGTGTGTGTGTGTGTGTGTGTGTGTGTGTGTGTGTGTGTGTGTGTGTGTGTGTGTGTGTGTGTGTGTGTGTGTGTGTGTGTGTGTGTGTGTGTGTGTGTGTGTGTGTGTGTGTGTGTGTGTGTGTGTGTGTGTGTGTGTGTGTGTGTGTGTGTGTGTGTGTGTGTGTGTGTGTGTGTGTGTGTGTGTGTGTGTGTGTGTGTGTGTGTGTGTGTGTGTGTGTGTGTGTGTGTGTGTGTGTGTGTGTGTGTGTGTTATATTGGCCAAGAGAAATGGAAGCTTTCACTCAAGCTTTTTCTCACGTGTCGTGCAGCCATCTGGAAACTGTGAGTTTGTGCTAACGTGAGCCGCCCAGATGTTTCTGGAAAACTCTCGTCAAGGGCTGCTCCGTCGGCAAGAGAGAGGAGCATAAGAGCCCAGACAGGCCTTGTTTCCATGGAAACAGCAAATGTTTCCCAAATAATTTCAACCAGAATCCCACACAGAGACCTTGAGCATTTGTGAGTGAGTGTGTGTGTGTGTGTGTCCCTCAGGCATACAGATAACATTACTTCATCATTCCAGGTTTTTAAACACTTTATTATTTGACTAAGCTTTGGAAAACGTACCGAATATTTTTGTTATACCTCTCTAGGGCCTCGAGAAAGGCTGGTCCCCGCAAGTGAGGATCAAAAATGTGTTCCCCAAGGCAAATAATAACCAGCGTGTTTGTGTGACGGCTGGACCGTATTCTCTCTGGAGATTCTCTTAGGAGAGCTTTGGGAATATCAAGGAAGTCAAGAGGAACCTTTCCCTTATTCCACTGACAAAGTGAATTATATATCAGTCTCTCTGTCGCTCTGCTGCTGCTCGGTGGCCGAAGGTGTGGGTTAATGACAGAGCCGAGTGCCTCTTACACCGCTGACTGCTCTTGTTGCATGAAAACAGGTGTGTTTGTGTTGAAGGAGACGTGGTGACGGCGAGCGGTGAGCGTTGTGTTTTATGACTTTGTTTTGGCTCTCAGCCCGCTCTTTAACAGAGACCCCACACTGTCTGACTGCTGGTCCTCGGATATTTCTCTTCTTTACTTTAAACCAGGTTAAGGATCTAGAGTACGTTTTTCTTGATACATTTGTAACAACGCTCTTCTCAAAAACAAATCTTATTTCCCCCATTCACAATATCTTTTACCGAAAGGCAATACAATCGATTGTATTATAGGGGCTATATACCTAAACATATACTATGAACTGTGCTTAAAATATTTGACAGTTGTTGGTTTTGATGTGCGACCTAGATGAAGGATCATTTGTGGACAGTATGAACATTTTGACATTACATGCCATTATATGTGAACAAAGTCTTATCAGTTTTCTTGTTGTTGATCCTCTCTCTCCTTCGTCTTTCCAGAAGGAGTTTGTACCTCCTCCTCCTCTCCTCTTAAGGAAGATGAGTAACCCCGACCTTTCCCCCGCAGCCACCGCTGCCACCAAATCCAAACTGCACCGCCAGCTGAGCCAGGACGAGAGCTGGGGCCGACGCAGCAGCTTGGCCATGACCGGTAACAGAACCATATCATTACATGTTTCAGAAATCAAGATGTCCTGCTCTGTTTTAAAACACTTCATGGTGCGAGATGTAAATTATATCCTACAGATTCTGACCAAATAAAAAAAGCTGGTCTAGTTTGTGAAGCTCAACCCACACGGGGTCAGAGTTACCTGAGGTTGTTCTGTGATTCGTGATCTCTCGTGTTTTTAATCCAGCGCCAATCTGCCATCCACCACAGATGAACCGCCATGTTTCCATCAGAGGTCATTTGGAAACATGAATCCCATGTGAAGCAGCAGTGCAGAGTGAACTGTTGGTTTTCTATCACTTTTTCACAGGGACTGGTTTGTGTTGTTGTCTTTTGGGTTTAGGAAATTGACATTTGGAAATGATTCATGTGAGCTAAGATTGAGCTAGTTTGAGGTGCCGTTTACACGAGGACAAAACGGCTTGTATCTGCATAGTTTCTCTTACGTATAGCCCAATTATTTACACGAGGCCGTAACAAACGGACCCCACAAACGATAACGGGTCCCAAGGTGGATAGATTTGCAAACGAAACTCTCTGGGGGGTCAAACGAGTCCGTGTAATCGCCTCTATACGAATATTTCCTGAAAAAATAACGATAGCCCCACCTCTCCTGCTCACTGCTGCTCACTGCTGTAGCATGGCCAGTAGCTACTGTCAGTAGCTACTGCTAGTGCTACTGCTACTGACCATGCTACAGATGTTAGTGCAACATCTACAGCTCCTCTACCACAACCATCAGCAACAAGTGGACATGGAGAATTACATGAACTACATGTTGCTAAATCCACCGCGGGGCATAAACAGAAGGGTAGCCATGGCAACATTGCTCCGGGCCATGCTCCGGGGTCTTCTTCGCTGCTTTTGGTGTATTTTGTGGCGGAAGTTACAGCGCCACTTACAGTCCCGGCATATGTACTACAGCGTTTCCAGCGGTCTCGTTTGAACAGACACGTTAAATGAAACGAATGCATGTGAACGGAAGACTTTTTTTTGAATACGCATACTGTGCATAAACGCAAACGTTCCCGTGTGCATATGGCCTGAATCTCATCCAGTTATTCAGGGTGGAGACCACATTTCTATGACTATGAATCACTCAAGTTAAGTGAGACGCAGACATCTCTTAGGGGACTCTGTGTCTCCATGTGTTACTGATGAAAGCTCAGCTGGGTTTGAGAGTTTTCATTGTTCGATATTGACCAGATCTTGACGGGAAATCAAAGTGACATCTCTCTGGTCATAATGTCAGCTGCAAATCATTTATCCTAAGCACAATTTGAAGTGTACTAAAGAAAGGTTAGAATAGACAAGTCAGCACCAGCCTCTCTCATCGATGCTACAAGTGTGCAACGATATGCCATCACTGCGAGGACATTTCTCAATGGTCTTCAATGTCCTTATACATTATTTGGTACCACTTTACAATAAGACTACCCTTATAAAGGGTTTATGAATAGTTTGTAATTCATTTATGAACTGAGATATCAATTGTCTGAGATATCAAGTGTCTCAGTTCAATAATCAACACTTACAATATTTGGCTAGAATTTTTTTAAGATTTGTCTGGGAAATTGAAATGTTCCTGTACACGTTGACCGGCACCAATTCTTTCCAACAGAAAAGCTTATTGAGATGAGTCTCTCCCTTCTGCCCCCCTCCCCCCCTCACAGGTAAGCAGCTGCTGCCTCTGTCCAGCAGTCTGCACGCCGGGGTCAGTCACATGGCCTGGCAGGGGCCCTCAGGAGCATTTATAGGGCACGGGGCCACCGGGGGACCGTCTGCAGGAGATGGGAACAACCTGGTCCGCATGAGGAGCCAAAGCCTGGGACAGTCTGCTCCGTCACTCACCGGACTGGTCAGTACAAAAACCCAACACACACACACTGTGGTATTTATCCTCAGGTCAGGAAGGCTCAAGAACATGCCTGTCCACACGGGAATCACAATTATTTTGGCCAGGATTATTGTGACATTGTCATTACTATATTTTCCCAAGCCTTGTCCTGCCCATATATGGTCATCACCTAGCAATTGGGGAACATGATACATGCACACATTTGATTGCGTCACGGATAACTTTTCTGAAACATGATTTGACAGAAATCAGACTTAAATTAGGCTTTTTCATCCTTTAAAAAGTATAACCATGCTATCAGGTTGTCTGATATCTGCAGACTCACAGTGAGCTGTTTGACTGGAAGTCTGCCAGCTGAATGCAGGCAGGCAGGCTGAGGATGACTCAGGCTTACACACACACACACACACACACACACACACACACACACACACACACACACACACACACACACACACACACACACACACACACACACACACAGAAACACTTGTTTGCTCAGTACTGAGAGGAAGAAGTGGAGCAGAAATGACCGTGTGTGTGTTCACTCGCTTGTGGGTGTATTGGCTTTAGATGCAGCACAGTGCTGACCCGTCTGGCTGGAGTCTAGATGAATGGGCTCTGCAGTGTGTGTGTTTTTTGTGTGAAAGCACTACTCTGACTCCTGCTGGCTGTGGAGGGTAACACTAGAGGAATGCTGCCTGCTGAAAGATGTTACCTTCCTATGTTCAGTTACACTCACACAAAACAAAACATAATTGTAAAGCTCCATAGTTCTATCTTGGTGTGTCTTTGTTTCCTCCACTCTGTTTCTGTAGGTATATTAAAACTGTGTCTTTGCTTATGGTCTAGTTGCTTGGACTGTTTCTAATAATAATACAAATACCAGTCACAAAGAGCTTTAAATTGCTGTTATAAAATAAATTCTACAGCATCTGGTTTAGAATGAGAACTAAAACGACAACAACGGATGCACAATATGAAACCTGTTTAAACGGACTGCAGTTGGAAACCACCAGCAGATGGCATCAGTGATTCGTGTTTCAAAACATCACTAATAGCTTTGTTTCATACCTGTTATACACGTTGGCAACTGTGTATGTTTGATACATATACATATAAACAATAGATGGATCAGTCAGAGCTTGTTTGTGTTGCAGTCGATAGTCTACATTGATACGATAGATGTTTTTATTCATTTTTGCTCTATAGCCCCCACGTCAAAAACAAATCAGTGGACCTTCAGAGCTCTCAAAAAACTCTCAAAAGTGGATTTGAAATGATGACGGATTGCCACTTTTTCATCTTAAAGGAATAGTTCAGCATTTATGTGATACAGTTAACACTTCACATCCACATGAGAAGATCTCAGTTCATATTTATCTCACAGTTTCAATGCATACATTCACACTCACATGTTGAACATTTCTTAGGTTCCTTTTTTCTGCAGATGTGTTGTCCAGTCTGAACAGCTCATAAACTCAAAGGATGAATCACATAGTAAGCAGATCTTGACATATAAAGTCTGTAAATACTGATCCAGGGATAACAAATACATGTTTTCAAAGTCTCTGTGGTCAGGGCGGTTAAAGGACCTTCATTTACACTAGGACTAAAAAGCCAAAATGAAATGAATCTGCCTTTCTAAATGAGTTCAGCCAGCAGGAAATTGCAGCACGGTTTGAAAACGGTAAATGTGATCTGAGTTATTCTAGTTGAGCAAATAATCACAGGTTATTATATTTCTCAAGGGCACATGTTTTCCTTTCTCTTGGCAGCCGCACTCCTCCGCACTGTTTCTCTCTGTCACTGTTTCATTCTCTCTCGCTCAGATTCTCAATCAACAGAAGTACAGAAGTACGTGCGCATCATATTTCAGCCTAGTGTTGATCCTCAGGGTCACGGCTGTCAGAATGTTTGTGTTTTGGCTTAAAGCTCCATCTCACGCTTTGAATTGACTTACATTACTGTGAGGGAAAAACACCTGAGCCCCTCTGGCTCATCTCCCTTCTTCTCTCCTGCTTTTCCTCTGTGTGTCATATTTTATGAAACACAGTGTTATGATTCGTAGAGGCTGATTTCCATACAATCTGTATTCATTTTGGTACCTTTAAAACTGAATTGGAGTATGTTTTTTTTTAATAGTGTTTACGATTTACTTACAAGGTTAACACAGTTTCACTTTTCTTAGAGGCTGCTGTCTTTATTGTTACCATTACTTTTTTGTAGTATGGATTGGATGTTATGGAGGAAAACTATATTTTGATAATAATGACCCTGCTGCAGTAACATTTGAGATTTTCTATAGGAACCCTGGTGCTTGGAAACACTACCACTTTTGAGGTTTTGTTGGCCGCCAAAATCAAACAAAGAAATGATAGTTCTTAGTAGTAAGCAACATCATATTAATGCAAACATGTCAGAAAATTCTGTTTTCAGATTCTCAAATATGAAGATTACCTCCTTTTCTCAGTTTTATATCATATTAAACTGAATGTTTTTGGGCTTGAGACTGACAAAACAAGACATTTACTGTAAGACATCACCTCAGACTTTAACGAACTTGGATGGAGATTTTTCACTATTTTGTGATTTGACACACCATACTTTTAACTCATTATTATAAAAAAATAATCACCAGATATACTGATAATGGAAATAAACTGTAGTTGCAGCCTTAAGGAGCGTTAGCGTTCCAATCCAACACAACACCATCATCACCTCATGACCACTAGGTATCTAAGTATTAGCCATTAGACAGTACCTGCATGCTACTATACGGTACAAACTGAGATATTTCCTTGCCCTAGAACAACATCACTTATAAAACTCTTAAATGCGTCTCTAGGAAGAGGATTAGTGTTTGATAATGTGTTCGCCTGTGTGGTGGATTAAAAAGTGTGCACCTATGATGTTAGTGTGCAGAAGACTTCCTCCCTTAGGGTCCATCCATCCATGCGTATGTGTTGTTAGCACCTGTGCTGTTAATGTGTCCCTGTGTGTGGTTATTAAGTGGTGTGTGTGTGTGTGTGTGTGTGTGTGTGTGTGTGTGTGTGTGTGTGTGTGTGTGTGTGTGTGTGTGTGTGTGTGTGTGTGTGTGTGTGTGTGTGTGTGTGTGTGTGTGTGTGTGTGTGTGTGTGTGTGTGTGTGTGTGTGTGTGTGTGTGTGTGTGTGTGTGTGTGTGTGTGTGGTGTGTGTGTGTGTGTGTGTGTGTGTGTGTGTGTGTGTGTGTGTGTGTGTGTGTGTGTGTGTGTGTGTGTGTGTGTGTGTGTGTGTGTGTGTGTGTGTGTGTGTGTGTGTGTGTGTGTGTGTGTGTGTGTGTGTGTAAACATTAATGGATGTCCAGATGGTGTTTATCTCTGGACTAATGGACAAGGGTCTGCTCACTTCTGTTCTCTCTCTATGTCACACTTAAAGTGTTTGTGTGTGTGTTCCCTGACTAACCAAGTGTTGCCAGGTAACCCCTGGGAGTACCAGGTGGCGTGAGTGTCCTGAAACCTGGACATGGACTCAGTATTTGAAAAAGAAAGATCCTTTATTATCTTCAATGAGTGTCTTTGAGAGCTCACTTCTCCTTTTTCGGCAGAGCAGCATCATTCAATGAAGTGGTGAAACTCTCGCAAACACACAATCAGATTAGCATTTTATTAGCATTTGTTTTTCAGGGAGAAAATAAATGAAAGACTGCAGAAAGGGGAATACAGGGCTGTAGATGAAAGTAGAGTGCTGCTGTATTGTTGCAGCTCGTGTTCAGGCACATCATTAAACTGGGAGAGGCTCTCCAGACACATGAGAGTTTGACACAAGCCGATTCAGGGGGATACAAGAAGTTCTCTCCTCTTTTGTTATTCACTGTCAGACAGTCAACTGGAGATGTTCCTCACACTTCACATCCTGAGACTGAGAGAGAGCACCAGTTTCTGTCACAATGTTTTCTTTACCTCAATGGAATAGTTTAGTTTTCTGGGGGGGGTAAATATGTCTTTTTACTTGGCAAGATCTAAAATAAATCTGATCATCTTTCTAAAGTCTCCCAAACCATAAATGTTTTTGATTTATCTATTTCACTTTGTATTTCTTAATTCTTTCCCTCTCCCATACATATGCAGCGTCTGTGAAACTTTAGCAAATTGTTATTTAAACTCAGGTAAAAAAAGACATCCTTGCATTTCTTAGAGATATTCTTGTATATGTTTCCCTCTTTATTCAAAGGGGTCCTTTTATGCTCCTTTTCAGGCTTCATATCAGTATGTAGTGTCTCTACTGGGACATGTCTCCTTGCTTTAATGTTCAAAAAGCTCTTTATGTTTCTCATACTGCCTGTGCTGCAGCACCTCTCTTCACCGAGTGTGCAGGAGAGAAACTCCCTCTGGAGGAAACACAGGGATTCTAAATAGTACATTGTAGATTGTAGATAGATAGGATTTGTTATGTTTTTTATATTTATATAAATATATCATATTTCAGAAAGGTTTATAAGTTTCATGGATACGCTACATCTTCTGTATCTCTACGCTGCTTTCATATCAGAAAGTGTTTAATGCAAGAAGTCCATTATTGCAGATAAAGGGATAAATGAAGCCTGGAATAAAGGATGCTCAGTTTAACAGCAGGCACTTCTCTGTGAGCTACACCTGCTGTGTGCAGACGTCAGGCCTCAGCCTCCATCATGGTGTGTTGGAGCTGTGAAGGAGCAGGCTGACGCACCTGCCACTTAAATATACATGAGAACATGCTGAATGATTGCTGCACTCAGACCAAGTCGAGACAAAGACCCAGACTCGTCATATTTCCACAGGATGGACTGAGATGCAACTCTGCATACACCTGTGACTAGGGCTGAGGGGGAACATTGAGTCCTGCTAGAATTAAAGTACTGATACAGTATGCTAAGATTCTGAATTGATTCACAACTTCCAGAACCACAACGATTTGAAAAGAAAAACTGAGATTATGCAAATAGTTTTGTTAACGTTAAAAAAAGAAACACACAAATGACC